GACTATTGCATTCACATCTCACACTTCTACTGCCATCCTATTCTATCGATCGATTTGTCTCTACTCTCCGAAATCGCGCGCTTTAACCGATTCTTTCATTGCGTCGCCTGATACGTAGCCGCCCCAAGGCGGACTTCTTTCCATGCCCCGCCTTTGGCTCCGCCCGAATTACCTTCGATTGTCCATAGAGTGTGGTTTTTGTGAGTTTGTTTCTCTTCGGAAACTGAACCTTTGTGCGCGAAACTTTGTAAACAGTTGTAATCTCTAGTGATCAAAGGTAGCAATTGGAAGCTGAAAATCGAGGAGGACTATAAATATTAGGTGTTTCAGAAAGTTCTGTCGTTTTCCAACCCCTAATTTTAAATGCACGTATCTCGGCTTGACTGAACCTTTCGAGTTGATTAAAAAACCATTCGAAAGCGCGAATCTTTTCTATAAGAAACCGTTCAACTGGGTACGTTTGTTTGGAATGCTGGACCTCTGGAGGCGATGAACTGAGGGAAGGTCGTTTTAGCATCATGTTGGGTTTTGATGTATTTCTCTTCAAGGAAGCTATCGAGATCGTCAGAAATTTGACAGTAGATAGACAAAGGTCTACTAAGTAAGATGTTCGCAGAACCACTCTGAAGTTCAGCTGGTACAACTTGTGAAGGGTTGGCCGTGCGATGTGCGTTCAAGACACCTTTCAGGGATGTGTGCGTTCCTTTATAATGAGGAATGCTGGACCCATGTCTTAGAGTTTTTGATGATTTTTGACTTAATATAAAGATTGATTCTCCACTGTAACAGTTCCACCTGATACTGAAGAACATGGCCAGCCGCTGACCCCATGAAAGCTGCCACAACCCTCCTCCAGCACAGTTTAAATTCTGCAAAGTTTGTAGAGCTTCATCGCCGTCGATCTATTCAGCAAACCTTCGCTATAGAGAAGAATCTGCTCTTATTGAAGACAAGCGACAATTTGATGGACGACCCTTCAAATTGGTGATTTGTCGCGGCACGCCCCTATCAAATTTTTTGGACTTTCCAGCTTCTTCCGTATAGCTTGGCTGTACAAACCATATACGCCCAGAACCTCCTCTATGGTCTTACGCACGAGTGCTTCAATCAGAACTTTTGGCTAATCGGTGGCAACGTCCGATATCCGACCACTACTCTCATCATATTCAAGGCTCTCGCTTCGTTACAATAAATTTTTTAACTACTGCTTCTGAGCACATTTATTGCAAATCTAGGCCAAAGCATCGTTAATATCTTGAACTGTTCCCGCCACTTTCAGGTCTATTTAAAGCTAGAAAAAGAAAGTCATGCCAACTTGCTCATCGAGTATACCGCATTCAAAGCTTTGAAAAAGCTATAAGAAAATATTTAGGACAAAGTTGAGCTAAGCATTGGATAGAGCTGGAAAAGCTCTTCAAAATGATATCAACATCAATTGCAGCTTTCCTAGATTTCAAGGGAAATAAAGCATCCAAAAGTGGAGTGTCAGAAAACGACAGAACTTTCTGAAACGCCTAATACTTCCGTGTTGACTATTATCACAACCATCTCGTCTTTCGTTTTCCACCCAAATTTCTCCTTTTCTTCGCTCTCAGAAATGGAACTCACACTGGAATTGGAAACGTTATATTCTTGTGGTTCAGCTGTGACAGGTTGTACCTCGACGGTGGGACATGGGTTCAGAGCTGAAAAAAAATGATCTTGAAGTCTCAAACTGCTAGTTCAAAAAAAAGAATTTCTCAAACTGCTCACGAGGCGTTATAGGTGGTTTTGCTGTGGTTGTACTGTGCACCTAAATATGTTTTGCATTCTTCCTTTTCTTGTTATTCAGAGCAAATATAATTTTTTTTCGCATTGATAATGTAATTAAACCATCTTCATGTACATTAAGGATTCATCCCATCCTGCCTTTTTGCACACTAAGAAGTTTTGGAGCGCACTGCAGCATTACAAGTGGAGAGATGGTTTTTGAACTGAATTTCTTTCTCTGCAACCCCATCGTTTTATATTGATGCGTTGAGGACAGCGCAGGGCACACGCCTCGCACCTTGCAGATCCTCGACGGACAGCGCGGGACGTAAGTGTCCTGCACCCACTACAATTATTTTTCCCAAAACGCGTGCTTCATTATTAAAGGCAAAGTCCGGTGTCGGACTAATGTATTTATTATTGCGGTCGCAGTGACAGTGAAGATGTAATGTGTAGCGCCTGCAATGGAAAAACGCGAAGAAACCGGCGACAAGGCCCAAACTAACACAGGAAAAAAGGCGACGAGCAGGACCTGTCGACATTGCACCTACAACTGTCGTACCATCGCCTCAGCGGCCGACCAAACCATCTTGATGGAGGCCAGCAAGAAGCTTCGCTTTGACGTCATCGCCCTCCAGGAAACAAAAACCAAGGAAACAGCCACAAGGAAGACCAACGACGGCCACCTACTTGTTCTAGGAGCCAAAGTGGATGGAAGAAACGTTGGCGGCGTCGGATTCCTCGTCAACCAACGGATTGAGCACCTTGGTCAACTCAACCGAGGTATTCGGCCCCGACTGGCCGTTCTCCGCCTACGCATCGACAAACGCACCTCTGTCAGCCGTAATAACTTCG